ATAGAAAACTGAGAAGATAGTATAAGGTTATGTGCAGACTGGTTACAGAAATGTGTATAGTTGGAACACAATTATAAAGAGACTGGTTATAGAAAACTGAGAAGATAGTATAAGGTTATGTGCAGACTGGTTACAAAAATGTACAAAAAAGGTATATTGTTCTAAAGAGAATGGTTATGGAAAACTTAAAAGATAGTATATAGCTAATAATGCTTGGAGACGGCTTGAATGGGTAATGAAGAAAAACTTTAATATAAGTTTAACATCACAGTAACTGTACAACATTTTGACTATATAAAGACTAGTTAGAGAAATGTAGGAGAATAATATAAAACTATTGAAAAACTGCTTATAGAATAACATATCTATTGGAAGAGGAATTTTAAACCATTTACAGAAAATGGTGAGAGGAAAGTATATGCCTGATGTATAAAAATGGCAAATAGCCTTGTATAGGTTAGTTAGAGAAAGGCAAATATAGGTAGATGGCATGAAGTTGTAGCAAGCTTGGTTGCAGAAAGTTAACATTGAAAGTACCGGCTAAAGAAAGTTATGAAATGGTATTTAATGATAGATAAACTGGTTATGAAAAACTCAGAAAAAGGTATGTAGCTATACAAAGGCTACTGACAGAAAGCTAAGTTGTAAAGTACTATAGTAATAAATGGCTATAGGAAAAACTAATATCTATTGTTACAACGCTTCACCAGGTTAACCTGTCATCATCAGATACAATAATTACATTGAGTGAATTAGATAACACTAAAAAATAGTGGATAGATACATTGGTATTTGATTGGTTGAGCTTAACAAGACTTGCAGAACATAAAAAACAATCACATAATTTATGCTGTTTTTCTACTCTTGAGGAATCTTGATCAAAGTAATATATGAAACTAGAAATTACATTAAAAGAAAATAATTAAAGGCTCATTAATCCAAAGATTAACAAATTTCAAACAATATAGAAGGCCAAATTAAGCTGAACTCTTTTCTGATATCATATGCCCTTACAGGACTTACAGTGTATTTGTTCTCTCACAAACAAAGTTTGGACTAAAACAGACACATGAAAGTGTTGAAAACTGTATTCAAATCAAGTTGATGCCATTCCAAAATAGCAGTTCGAGATATTATGTTAGATTTTACATTATATTGTATATTACCTACTATTAGAATAGTCATATTCTTATAATCATTAAGAAAATCTACCAGAAAACTGATTCAAGTAACTTATACCTTGACGTATGTATTCAAAACATAACTCTTATATATGTTAAGCATTTTTGATAAATGAATATAGTCTGATTGTAAATTCACTCTAAAAAAAGAAAAGATAAAACATACTTATTCAACAATTCAACTTTAAAAGTTTGAAACAGAGATTAGAAAAGATACAACTGTAAAGCAGAATATTTATTAATTTTAGGTTCAAGCTGTTTCATTAATAAAGTTTCCTATATTTTGCGGCAGTTTATGTTTTTGTCTCTATTGAGAATTTATACATTTTCAGGTTGAAACAATTGACCATGCTTGGACATATGCTCATAAACGTGGGAGGGGGTTTGTCATGTTCTTTAACATGGATAGGAATTTCTTTGTGAGTTTCTCCAATGTAAAACTCATCATATTGTTCACAACATATTTGATAGAAAGAACCAGTGGTATCAGAATATTGGTATCTTTTCTTTATAGAAGTTGCCCTAGTTTTCACCCATAAAGAAACATAGATTGTACAGGTAAGTTAATTTGAGACTCTTCTACAATTTTCTCTTAAGACTTTCTGATTGAATGTGACATTTTTGGGATAGAGTAGTGGAATAATAAACTTCAAGAAAATAACCTCTGAGGAAAAACCCAATGGAAAAGGATGAGGGCCACAGCCAAATTGAAAGAAAGGACTGAGAACCAAATGTTTAACCATTGTGGAAGAACCAAAGGAAGCAAAAGGTGGGCATACAAATGTGTTTATAAAAAAATGTTGAGACTCAAAACTGGTCATCCATCACTAGGGAGAGTATCCACCAGAGAGTAAGAAACTGCCCATTAGGAACAGAAAAAAGACAAAAGTTGGGCCAAGTGGGACAGACTGGTATTTAACTGACAACTTCCTATCTACATGGGACTGATAAAAAGGTGCAGAATGGGATTAAGGAATTGTCCCATAGCATTTAGAATACAATGTGGTGGAGTATAAGGAAAACTCCTGAGAAAGCACCTGAAGAACTCATTAGGGTGTAGCAATGAGAGCTCACCAATGGTCAAATGGGAGAGCAGAGCTCTCACACAACTGGAGCCGAGGGATGGCTCCAGAAATAAATTGCCACTAAAGCCCACAAAGACCATCCCTGAAAGAAAGGGGACCATGGAAAATAACAAGAGGAAAAGGAACAGAAGAGGGGAGCACCCTCACAAGATTGTATACAATGAGAAAATTTAGTGGATCCCCCTGGTCCCAAGGGCAAGAAGCCAAAGTAAGCACAGATGACTGCTGAAGAGCTGTATTGGCTCGAGATGCCAATGTATAAGAAATACTAAAAAAAACACAAAGAAAAGGTACAAGACAGAGGTCCTAGGGAGGAAATTGAGGGTGATGAAAGTCAGAAAGTAAACCAAAGCATATCCCAAAAACAAAGAAACCAAAGTGACTGGGACAAAATAGAAGAAAACAGGTATATGCAAGTTGCCCCAGCAAAGCTGACAGGGTTATGATGGAAAGCCTCCAAAGGAATGTGAAACATAAGAATGAACAAAGAAGTTAAGTAAGAGATGAAGACAAGTACATGGAGTAAAAGAAAAACGAATGAAAAAGATATACCTATTGTTAGATATACACAACTGTTCATTTTAAGTTTAATATGAGAGTATTAGTCAGTATTTTTAGAAGCGATAGTTATGGAAAGTTTGCTTACGTAACTGTTTATGAATCATTTGTTGTGTAGCTCAATTGTTGTGAATTGACATCATGTTACTCAAACCTTCTGTATTTTTCTTGTTGCTTTAAGTGAGTATTGTTACTTCATAGCATCTCGAAGTTTGTAGAAGGTTCTAGGCCTCATTTGGTCAATTTATACACAGATGAAAAAGTTAGCACAAGTTAAGTTACTGAAAGTGTAAGTATGACAAAGTTAGCGAGAGATATAGATCTAGCCTGTTTTTGTAAGTTTAGCCATAAAGAGTGTATAGTGGTGACTTTTAAAGTGTTATAATCGCAGATTGTATTGCAATAAACAGAGTGGAGAAAAATAATTCATCTTCACAATTGGGTTCTAAAGTAACTGAACCAGTCTGTGTTGACTTCTGACATGAGAGAGAATTATTTAAAGCTCTAGATACAACTGTTGTAACCCACAGTGAATTAGTGAATGTATCACTGATTATATTGTGATAACAGAGGAAAATAAATTGTCTTCTCAAAGAGTGTTTTAAATTAATTGAACCTGCCTGTGTAGATTTTTAGGAAATAGATACAGTTATTTAAAGTTCTGGATAAAACTGTGATAATCAATACTGAAACAAGAGATCCTAATAACCAGCAACGTATTAATGGATAAAGAGAAAACAAAAGACACATACCTGTGGAATCCAAATAGTGAAAGATAAAAGTGAGACTACCTGATAAATGTTTGGTTTGTTTTGAATTTCACGCAAAGCTACACAAGGGCTATCTGCTGCACTAGCTGTCTCTAATTTAGCAGCAAAAGACTAGAGGGATGACAGCCAGTCATGATCAATCACTGTCAACTCTTGGGCTACTTTTTTACCAATGAATAGAGGAAATGACTGTCACATTATAATGCCCCCATGGCTGAAAGAGTGAGCATGTCTGGTTGGACAGGGATTCAAACTTGTGATCTGTTGTCTTTGATATATCTTCCTCTAAATGTTGGGAAGAGGAAACCAGAAGCAAAGGCAGGTGTGGAAACAACAGTGGTGAAACAAAAAAAGGACAGACACAGCAGAAGTAACAGAAGCAGGAGGTTTGGAATCCTGGAACCAACTATATGATGCATGATGGCAGTAATATCACTAACCATCAGTTTCTCCAGTCATCATAATATACACCTGGAAAAAAGTTAAGCACCCCCGTGTTTTTTTCAAGTGATTCAGATTCGACGTTCTTGTGACTGATTATAAATTACCATTCAATCTAAATGTGTTTATCAAATGAAATTATGCATTATTGGGC